ACAGTTATAGTCCAAGACTGTACCTTAACCTATTTTATAAATTAAAGCTAACCCAGATTACTATAGATGGTTTATAGATTCATAGATGCTAGGGTTGGAAGAGACCTCAACAGATCATCAAGTCCTACCCCCTGTCTGGGCATGAAAGAGTGCTGGGGTCAGATGACCCCAGCCAGGTGCCTATCCAGCCTTCTCTTAAAGACACCCAAGTTAGAGGACAGCACCACCTCCCTTGGAAGCCCATTCCAAATTTTAGCCATTCTTACTGTGAAAAAGTTTTTCCTGATGTCTAGCTTAAATCTGCTCTCTGTCAGTTTATGACCACTGTTCCTTATTACCCCAAGATACGCCCTGGTGAACAGAACATCTCCAGTTCCTTGCTGTGCCCCCCTAATGAATTTGTAGGTGGCCACAAGGTCACATCTTGGCCTTCTCTTGTGGAGGCTGAAGAGGTCCAGGTTCCTCAGTCTCTCCTTATAGGGCTTGGCCTTCAAGCCCCTAACCATATGAGTGGCCCTCCTCTGGATCCTCTCAAGGTTGTCCACATCCTTCTTAAAGTATGTCACTGAAAACTGAATGCAGTACTCCAACTGCAGCCTGACAAATGCCGCGTAGAGGGGAAGTATCACCTCCTTGGTTCTGTTTGTCATGCATCTGCTGATGCATGGCAAATGCTGTTCACTTGTCTGACAGTTATTGGGTAGTTACTGTTTTTTCTTCTTAGGTGAGATTCAATGATGTAGTTGGCTTGAGTGCTGTATTATCCTTTTTATCATAAGCTTTATTCTTCCTTCACTACCTGTAGTTGGTCCTGGGTATGATCGTAAACTGTGTCTGATTGGAGGGCCTGGTGGCAATGTGGTGGGGCTACTCATGGTGGAGTAGCTCCTATAAAATGCCACAGTGTTGCAACTTGCAGAGTAAGGCAAGTGTAGGGCACCTCAAAACCCTAGTCCCCACTATCTTGTGAGTACTTCTTGGTTGAAGAAAGGCTAAGAGATATCACCCTGACAAAAATGCACCCTTGCTGAGGTATTAGGCAGTCAGCAGTTCTTACCTGTTGCTCTCTGGCAGAAGCTACAACCACTGAGGCACTGAACGTCTGGACTCGGTCTGGCCTTTGGATTCTGTCTCAAGAAGGGATGGTAGGTCTTGGGGAGTCTCCATTCCTCATACTGTTGCCTGGGCCTACGCATCAAAAGTCTTGTCATGGTGGTCTCAGGACTCCATAGAAGTGAATTCATCAGGCACCTGACTAGACTTCTTACAGGTACCCCATGATCCAGAGGATCAACCGTTTCCTACCTGTAGTGCCTTATTCAAACAAATCAGCATTTTCCTTTTCCTTGCTCCAGTATGGTCTGCCTTGAATTTATTCTGTACTTAATTTGCTCTCTTGTAATTTCTCTTCAGGTGACTATGATGCCCTGTGTATCCAGTATGACAGTATCTATACTGCCAGTTCTTTGGCCCACACCAAATCCCACTGCAGTGGAGCTCTGCTGTATCTAAAGAGCCAACTGCAGGACCAGGACTTCCATAGCTAGCCAAAAATGATTTGCAGAGCTCTTTTGGAAATTGGATGCTAGCTCAGAGATTTCCGCTATGGTGTTTCTACCCCAAATGTGTCTCTCTCATTCCATCAGTTGCCTTTTGTGTGTCACCATACATATGAGGAAATGAGCATGGTGCAACCAAATTCACTTGTTTCTACCCACCAGAAGCCTGGTGCGTACAGCTGGGTGACTTTCTGAGGGGCAGGGGAAGTGTAGAGAATCCTTTTTTAAGGTGAATTATCTTTAACTGTGTTAATACCCTTTTATACTTCTTATTCAAGTATTTTCTTGGAAGTGGTATAGCCCAAAAATGGCTGTAGAAACAGCAATTTTTAAATAGTTGTTGGCAAATAGTTGGGACAGTGAACTATGAATTCATGCACAGGATTGTTAACAAACAGAAATTCACTATTACATTCACCCTCTTGAGGAGGAAACTCAGTACCCTATATTCTCTACAGCCAATCAAAACTACCTTATATGCTTTGAATATGGAATATGTATATATTCCATATTCACAATAAACTGCTCATGCATAATTTACAGACCAACAGCAATTCAGTGAAATTATTCAGCAATTAATTTAGAATAATGAATAAATTTGAGAAAAATCGTGATCTACTCATGGACAATTACCAAAGAGGAAAAACTCCCACAAAATTGATCAAATGCATTATTCACTGTCATTGAACATTATTCACCTGGCTGTTCTCCCAAGACTCAATATGTAAATCATGTCAGTCATAAATAGGAAGAGACTCATTTGCCAAACATGTTGAGTAGTAGCAGTGGCGCTGTGCTAATGGCTACCATTTTATCACACTTTTAGCACTAAATCAGAACCTCACCTATTGCTGAATGGCATTGAATGGGTCCTTTACAGAGATATCTAAACAGCTAAAGAAAGGTTTTCAGATGAACCACAGATAGCTCATGTGTCCACTAATGATTTATTCCCTTCCCATCATTATTGACAAGGATAAAATACAGTATCTCTGAGCTGAGGTTGTCTAGCCATTATAGTGCATAAAATATTGATGCAAATTAATGTAAAGAAGCTGAAGTTCCTGTAATTCTAGATAGATAATAAAACTTCTTGATTTCTTTTAAAGCCTAGTCATTAAAAATGAGTACCAGGTACCAGTGGGGAATTGCTGCTCTTGGAATAGATCACCTCGCTAGTTGTACACCTCGATAAACTTTAACTGTAATATCAGCCTATACCACCAGATGGCAAAAGAGTGTCATTTTTCACATGTGTAGCAGCTGTGCTGCTACTTCCAGCTCCAATTTATACTCAAACTTATAAATCCATGGGTATATAGGCCAAAGTTTTGTGTAGAAAGTCTTAATTTTCATAAAATCCTCTTCTGTAGTTTCATAATCTCTCAGGCATTGTTATGTCCATCTCTGCACCTACTACCCTTCCTAATTCTCATGTATCAGATGGACTCAAGTACATCACTAATGTGCTGAAGAGCGTACTCCTATGTTAAGTTAGTTGAGTAGATTTTGAATCTGAACAGATCTTTGTAGATGACTGTTACCATATTTTCTTGCATACAACACACATTTATTCCTCAAAAATATCAGCTGGACATTTTTGTGCATGCTATAGGAAATAAAATTGATAGAACAGTTCTGCCAGGAGCAAAAGTGAAAATAAAATGTACATGTAACTCACAGGGAACAGAACAATGAGCAGGTTCTGGTTCCTACCTGCTACTGCTCAGTTACTTTCTACAAGGAAAGATCTTTTTTCTTCGTTCTGCCTTTCAGAAATCAGGACTATATATTATTCCACAGCATGCTGTGTGAGAGAAAATACGGTATTACTATTTATTTTTTTACGGTAGCCCCTAGGAACTCCAGACATGGAGCAATGCCGTACTGTGCTACTTGCTATATAAAGCACAGGGAACAAAAAAAGATATTGTCTGGACCAAAGAGCTTAAGGAAGCAAATCTGTATAAAGACTTGTATTTTCTTCTTCCCACAAAGGAAGCAGTTTTGCATTTGGGAGTCCCATAAGGAAACATTTTTGCTTTCAATTTTGCATTGGCCTGTGTGTTTCAGGTTTGCTTATGGTGTAAAAGAAGATATCAGCTATGGATCCCCAGAGTTAAGAATCCTGATTAAGACTCTGTCCTCTTTTTTGTATGCACATCATGATCATTTACAGTAATGGGCCTATTCCTGAAGAAAAATGACCAAAGTCTATTGGACTGTGCAAGTCTAACAAAGGAAAATGCTGATTTATTTGGGGGCCAGTACATTATACTTCCAGTTTGTTGTAAATAAATTGTGGGATGTTTGGATTAAAGTGAGTATGCTGCATGCAAATAAGATCATCCTCACCATTTACACTCCAGCACATCCATTTTGAGGGAAAGTCTGTGCCCCCACATTTTGAGTTGGGCTTCAAAAAGTTCCTTGTGCAGTTTCAATGTGGTGCTGGAGATGCACAAAGTCCAGGGCAGTATTTAAACTGCTGCAGTTCTTGGAGAGGAGAGATGATAATTTTGATGTAGTCTAGAATTCAGAGTAGGGAGCTGAGGCAGAAGAAAGCCTGTCTTGGGCACTGCACAGCCACTAAAGAAGAGTAAAAGTGAGGAGTCACTTTAACAAATGCAAAGTCCAAGACACTAATGTTCTTGTGGGCTAGAACAACATATATTGCTTTCAGCTGGTTTGTGCCTTTAGCAGGTATGATGCATTACACTTATACTCTGCTATTTGAATAATGCTTTTTCACTCTGTATAAACCAACTTATAATACCAATGAAAAAATAGCCATGGACCATGAAACAAGTGGGAATGGATAATCAATTTTTATCGCTAATATTGTGGGTAAGACCAATAACTCTGAGTGAGTTATGAAAGTCTTCCTCTGCTCCAGGTAGATGTGTCTGCGTAGTTAATCTCCTTTTACCTTACATTTTAGTCCAGACTAGTAATGGAAGCAGTGGAGGGTAACATTTTAAAACTAAAATCTTACGTTGCACATATTTCTTCTTTAAATTTAAGAATGTAAAATTCACAGAGTTGTGCTGGCAGCAGATGCATGGTAATAGTAGAGTAGAAGAATCTTTCATCTTTAAAAACCTGAGTCCAAATCAAGCTTAAATAAGTGACAAGCAAAATGGGGCTATTGATTTCAATCAAGTCCCCATTTGGCTATGGCTAAGCCACCACATAATAATGCTTCAGCACTTAAAGGGACAATGCCAACTGAAAGATAATGCAACATTGAAAACTGTTGGTTTGTCGACATCCATGCTCGATGAGTGGAGTTCCTTCTGAAACCAAACACTGTTCTGATCACACCCTGCATACCAGACAGGTTTCAAACCCTCCTTCAGTTTCCTTCCAGCTGCCACTCCACAGAAGCCCACCTGGTGAGCTAGTCATCCCATTTTTGCCAGGAAATTTGATATTTTTTTCCCCAAATCAGAATTAAACTACATTTTTCAAATAGCAAAATCCCCTCCAAAATAGAATTATCTTTCTCTGCGGAGTCCTGCACATTGGTAATCCTTAATGTCAATCTCCTCACATAAAGTTAAATGTATCACAAGCTGTCAATTGTATCAATATCAAATGATGCTGATATCAGTAGTTAGGATATGACTGTTACCTCTGTAGCACTATAAGTGTTGCAAAACCACTGCAAACCCTGAATAAAACAGGGTTAATGTATCTTGAAGTGACAGGATCAGACGTTAAAGACTGTATTTGCAGAGGGCTCACAACCATATTTTCAAAGGACTTGGGACCAATTTAGGCTGGATTTTTACAAGAACTCAGCTTCTATTTGAAACTCTTACACAAGGTCAGATTTTTACGTGGCTGCTGCTACAGTTCCTGACCTTAAAATCTGGTCCAATCTGACCTGCTCAGGACCCGCTCAGGAGCTAACAGCAGAGCTGGAGAGTGGTACTGAAGAGCCCTTGGCTCCTGCCTTCTCTTGAATCCTTCAGACTGCTGTGCATCTGGCTCACTGCCCACACAACATGCGCTGCTGTCTGTGCACACAACACAGCTAAGGGAAAGGCTCAACGGCTGCCCAACTCTGCATTTCCTTACATTGGTGGATTTATGTCTGAAGTTTAATGTTCCTAAATGTCATTCTGAGTGATTTTATAGTGCTAGGTTAATAAACTGCTTAGCACCACAGAGATACTGAACCGTGCATTGCTCCAGTTGCTAGGGTGAGCGCTCATTTTTTATTTAAAACCATACATGAGAAGAGCAGATTTTAGCTTCATTCTGAGGCAGCCTTACCCCATGAATTCACATTTTGAATTAAAAAAAAAAATCTTTCTTCTTGTTCTTGCCAATGATGTTTAGTTCCTGCTAACCCCTGTCTCTTTCCTGACTCGTATATCTCCAGAGCCCATCACTACAAAGCTCTGCCCATGCATCTTGAAGGAAAGTATGAGAGAATAGCGAAAGAGCATAATTTACGCTGGACAAGTGCACTATGCAATTATTTTTATTGAGTTACATGGGAAAATCTCATCAGTTCAGAGTCTCTTTGCGATGACTCAGACTCAAAATCCTCTAATGACTCTTATGTTCAACACTAATTTATTATCAGTCAAGAAACCTCACCTTCCCTGGAAATCTTCAAGAGGAGACTGGATAGGCACCTGGCTGGGGTCTTATGACCCCTCCCACCCCCAGTGCTCCTTCCTGCCTATGGCAGGGGGTCGGACTAGATGATCGGTCTAGGTCCCTTCCAACTCAGTGATTCTATGATTCCGTGAAACAGCCTCAGAACTGAAGCTATTTCTCTTTTCAGTTTGGAGATAGGAATAGACCAGTGGACTGGACTGAGCCTTGGACAAATTTGGATCAGGATAAGAAGTTCATTAGGCACACTGTCTCCAATGCAACATGAACAGGATTGAAAAAGTTTGGATTTTGTACATATATTTTGAAAATAAATTTTAAAAGAACATTTTTTAAAGTTCCAGTTTGTTGCTTCAGTGCTTTGAGAGCTAAAAGATCCCATTTTAGAAGCATTTGTATAGAGGCTGCAGAACCTTGGACATGGTTTGGGACATCTTTGGGGGAAGCACAAAGGGGAGGTGGGGAACATAGTTTGGAATATTTCCTGACATTAATGGGTGTGGAGCAATAATTTACAAAAGAAAAGAATAAAACCTTCTCAAGGGGGATACCCATTTACTTGGTCCGTTAATTTGTGTGAAATAAAAAACAAACAAACCCAAGTAGCTTTTGTTATAAGTTTCCCCCAAGGGACTCACAGGAGATAACCCATCAGTATTTTTGTATCTGACCCCAGTGCTTATGAGTAGGCATCCCATTTTCTTCCTTGCTAGCCTAACCAGAGTTTCCAGAAATATTCAATAAATCAAGAGTTAAAAGGAAAGAGTAGATGTGGGGAGCAGCTGTTTATTATCTGCACATCTCTGGAGAAGAAAATCCACACTGCATTTCCATGCCCACTTGAAATAGAATGCGACCATGACCCTGCAAGTGGCTCTTCTTGAATCGTTTCCTGCATCGTGTCTTACTCCAGTATTTTAATTGTTTGCTTACATCAGTTTCACTTCACACTATCACTTGTGGTGTGTAGGCGAATGAGGAGGCTGAGCTTTAAATAATACAGCACATGATTTTTATTTGCCATGTGGAATGATATTTTTTCATCTGATTTATGCCCCACCTGGACAAAATTATTTTTATGGCAGGCTTATTTCATTTGCTTCAGCACCCTTGCCTAAAAAAAATGAACACTTGTAGTCTGCCAATGACGGCGGACATTGAAATCAGGTTTGAAATGCACATTTATTACAAGGCTTAATTTCTTTCTACATGTGCAAATGAAAAATGCCATTGTCATAAACTAGCAAATGTGAGGTAATCCAGGAGAGAGTGGGCTTCAATCTCTTCTCTTCCTGAATACTGATACCATAAGATAAATTCCCTGGCAGATATAAAACACTGCACTCGAACAAATGCATTTGGCTGGAGCACTAGCCTAGGTTTGCCCTTTTTAGAGCATCATCAAGAAGCATGACCTGGACCACAACGAGATGTCATGGTGACAGCTTTGCAAAACTGTCAAAACAGTTTACAAGATGAATCACAAAATCTACTCAATTTTCACCCTCTACGATAATCATGGAAAACTAAATGGTATGTTACTCACTATCAAATTAAATGAATTGTCTTGGGTAAAGAGGCCGGTATTGTTTCATAGGAATAATTTCCAGTATTTATCATGAAAAGTGCACATGCCATACACATGTGATGTCTTTGTTATACCAATCCAGAAAATAATGCAGGTGATCCCATGTCTGGAAAAGCCTGAATAGTATTATTGTTGCCAACCTGTCATCCAGAAAAGTGATGCTATTTATATAATCAGATTTTTAGAAAGAAACTGCATAACACAAAAGTGCCTGGCACAATGGGCTCCCAGTCCTGGCTCTGGCCTTTTGATGCTACTTTAAAACGACTAATAATAATAAACCCATAATCATCACACTAGTCAGGAAGGCCTGGCTCTTTTTCTGTTATCCTCCTTAGCCATGCAACTTTCTCCTGCAAAAATGCAGCATAATTAAAATATACAACATGAAATTCTTTATCAGCTCTGAATACAAAAGAGATCACTGGGGAGTTCCTTCCTCTTCTGCTTCTAGCCCACAGCTCCTCTTAGGGTATAAGTATCCCAGCTGACCCAATGTCCTTACCAGAGAAGGCAATAGTCATAGTTTCTTCTGCTATGAGGTTCCACAGACCAATATTATTCCTTCCCCCAACCGGGTCCTGTTCTTATACCTTGCTTTGCAGGCTTTCTGAAAATCCTATGACCAGTTGAGCCAGCCTGTGTAGTGTACAAGGGGTGCTGATCTCTATTTGAGATCCTGAGATCTACTCTGTGGATAGCGAGTACAACTTGCTGCTAGAAAACTAACCAATCTAAGATACTTTTTCCTGTAAAATTAATTTTAAATTTGAAAAATAGAGTTTAGCTTGCAATACGTGCACATTGTATTTATGATTGTCAAAATGGCATGTGGCTTTTGAAGGGAACGCAGACTTTACGTTTTTCTCTGAATACTCCAGGAGCAGGGTAGGCTCCATCCAGAATCATAAATTTGCAATCATGAAAGACAGAGAAGACAGTATACAAAAGTTACAGTAGATGGTGCTAGACAGGTGCAAAAGACGTTAGACAGTCATTTGAGGATACCTGCAAGATTTACCCCTAAGCTAAGCGGTTTAGAAAATGTGCAATTTAGTTTTATCAGTTCAGGAGGGAGATTCAGATAAAAACAGTTGAGCTGGTGAGATTATTAAATACGAAACCCTATGTTTAGACAATGCTCACGTTATTACATAAACTGACAACAGGGAGATGTACAAATGCCAGCTCCAGCTGCACCCACATAATCACTCTGAAATCAAGGATGGGGAAGGGGAGATTAACTGAGGGCAGAACTTTGTCTAGGCACTTTAAAATTAAAACTGAGGTCAGGCTCCATTCTAATCCTACTTTGGGAAGCAGATTTGGGGAGGGGAGAGAAAAGGCAGAATGGTATAAGTTTTCATCAGAATGGGAGGCGTGGTTTTGAATTCCCTGGAACCTGTTGGCGTGTATCAAACTTTTCATGCTATATAAACACAGAATTTTGTATGTAGTTTTCAAAGAAGGAAAAACCTTTAGAGGTTCCATGTGTTTCTATCATTTGAATGTGTATTTGCATAATATTTCTGAAGGCAGATAGTTCTTCAAAAGAGATTAAAGGCTGTCTTAGAGTTGCAAGTGTTACATTCAAATGTGTAAATCAGCACTTAATATATGGATATATGGATATATGGATATATGGATATTAAATAGTGTTGTAGTAATACAAAGGTTTATTGAGAAGGATTATTCTGTTGTACCAATAAAGTCTCTCATCAGCTTACATGTATATCTTTTTTTGTTAGACCATGTATGCTGCTGGAAATACCTATGTGCATTTTTGGTAAGGCAGAGATTTCCATGATTTCTTGGTGGTTCACATGGTTGGATTTATATGAGGGTTAGTTATTAAACTTGAATGCATGTTGTTTTCTGGCTGGGGAATGATAAAGATATTAAAGACAATGTTCCAGAAAGTGCACAATAGCCGATATTCAAGTACTGATTGCTAGACTGCAAACTGGCCTGCAGCAAACTAGGCTGCAAACTGGCTCAGCATTATGTCACTGCACAGTACCTCTGCATTGCCACACTAGAAACCTTCATCTAGGCCTAACTTTGGGCTCTCACTTACTGGCATCTGCCAACCAGGGCAAGGATCAGAGTGGAGGTGACACTCTGAGCCTCTAAAGGAGAAAACTGCATGATGTATCACCACTCACAAGCACCCGCTGGAGAGCTGTTTCAAGTGAGATTATAGTCTCAGAGGAGACTCTCATCCCTCTCGGTCACAGGGTTATTATGATGATGCAGTTGCAGCTTGTATGCAGGGAGGTAGAAGGGGATTTAAATGATGGCCAGAAAGAAAAGCTGGATGAAATCTTTACAGACCCTGTCCAGATTAACCCAGATTCCTGAATTCTTGCTTTGGGAGACTTGAAACCAGCCAAATTGATTCTTTTCTGTTTTAAAAAAATGTCAAAAGTTTATACTGGAGTTGAAAGCATGAAAGCAATGCTTTGGTCCAGTGTGAAACAAATCCCTAAAGATCATGGCTTGAGTAATTAAAAATCAGGGGCTTGATTCTCTACCCACAGTGACTTTATATTCATTTAACCTTCTAGATTTCTGAAGATTTGTTCTTGATTTAAGGTGAGGTGAGGGAGAAAAAATCCAGCTCACTGCTGGGGGGTCTCTTCCCCTCATTCATATTCAAAGGATTTTTTTTTACTTGTAAGCTCCCATTAGTCTAAAAGGCAGAAAAATCCCTGGGCAATTGCCTGTTCCCATATGCAGCCTTCAGTATTATTTATCATGCTGATTGTGGCAGTGCCCCAGGGCTAGTTGAGAAAGGGGCCTCATTTGTGCTGGCACTGCATAAACATAAAATAAGAGACAGTCCTAGCCCCAAAGATCTTACAATTTAAACTGACAAGAGAGGCAACACATACAAGCAGAGCAAGCAGTTCAATGGCAATAAGCCTCATGTTTTTCCACAATTGTTTTTTTACTTCTCATAGGAAGTACCAAAATTAAGTAAAGTACGTCCTATCCTTTACCAACGCAAAAACAAACAGCCTTCCTGCAAGCCTTTTGCAATCTAACTGAATTATTTCTTTATCATCTTTTTCATGATCCCAAAGATAATGACATGCATTTAACCATTAAATTAACAATGGACTAAATATTTAATTCAGGAGTCAGGACCACACTGGACAAAAGCTTTGGCATTTTATATTTGCCTGGTGAAGGAGAATAATGAACCTGGAAATGCCACAAAGTTTAACCTGTAGTGTTGCTGATGAATACTTCCTTTCAGGAACTAAGATTTGGTTGGGGATGGAGGGCAAGTGGACAGTCTCTAGGCAGTGTTCAGGGATTCATGCAGAAGGAAGCTCCAGCCGCAAGAGGGGCTGGCTACCTTATAGCCTCGCTCTTGGTTTTCAAACCTCCCAGATTAGTTCTGTTGCTCCTCACCTTGCCCCTTCACCATACTTCCCTGTCTGCAGAGGGGACAACATAGCGTTGCTTTTAATTCTGTTTCTAACAGCATGGCTTTCTGATGGGCTTATTGTAAAGGGGAGACACCACACACAAAATGACTATATTGTGTCCTGTTGCCAATCTCTTCCTGGCCTAGGAAGCCTCAGCTATCTCTCAGTCTTTCAGAGAGATTTTTTGTTACTTAAGAGGAGTGCTCCATTTGCTTTGGATTTCAGGATCAGGAACAGAAGACAGATACATGAAAACTATAAGAGATCCAAGTAAATCTCTGTAGGACTTATAAAAGTTATTCTACAAATTTCATCAGGGCTCAGACAAACTGCTCCAAAATTTCTTTCAAGGGTGTAGCTTCTAGCCATGTTGTTTTAAGGACATAGGCAGACAAGGTTCTTTGTGTAAATTCAGTATCTTTTATTATTTGAGTTTGTCTAATAAAAGACATCGGATTTACCTCAGGAACCTTGTCTGCATTTCCCTACATTCATTTTGTATTTGAAATGTTAAGTTTCCTT